CCAGGATCACACCAGGCTTGACCAGGTGCAAGCCAGGGATCCGCTCCACTATGTCTTGGATAACACCCTCCACGTAGGATGCTATGTTCGACAGGCTAGGCCCCGGCTGCACCTTGTCCAGCTTGACCATCATACGCCTCCCGGTTCCATTGCTGAGTCGGAGCCTGCCCTCATGGGTAAGCCGTGGTAGCCCTCCCTGCCGCGAGGGAAGGTCTCCACGCTGAAATATTGCTGCTGCCTTATCGCCTGACACGAGCTCAGTGGCGCTTGTGGGAACATCAGGAGTGATCAGAGAGGCGAGGTGGGGATCATCTACTACCGCAAACCCCTCCTTGTCAAGCATCACCGGGACCATGTCTATCGTGTGCGTGAAAAGGTCTGTTTCCAGTACATGGCTGTCCTCTGGTTCCGGCTCAGATTCCACGTCCGAGTCTGATGATGACTGGATGGCCCGGTTCCTGGTGGGCCTTCGCCGATGGCGAGACTCCCAATAGGACACCACCGCACCAGCCATGCGGCGGATCTCTCGCTCAAGGTGTGCTTCATCATTGGGCAGCAGTCTCCTCCTCTCGTCTGCTGCTTGAGCAGCCGCCTCACCGCCACGGGCATCCTCAGGCGCCGGCGGTGGCAGCTGCACAGTAGCAGATGCGCCCCCCTCCTGCAGGCCGCATTGCATGGAGTGATGCACAGGAGGCACGACGGGTTCACCAGGTTGGTCAATGGGCAGTGTCATTTGGTGCACCCGTTGTGTGCTCTGTGGTGCACCCTCCCTCACACGGACCGACCCCGCCCCTCAGGCTCCCCCACCTGCTGTCTTACCGTGCACGGAAACCGTGGGCTGGGCATGGCAGCTCGTCCTGCAGCCGACGGGGATGGCACAGCAGCCGCCTCACCGCCACGGGTGTCCTCCTCCTGCAGGCCGCGTCACACAGAGTGATGCACAGGAGGCATGACAGGTTCGCCAGGTTGGTCGACGGGCAGTCATGGCAGCGGGAAGCAGACTTGCACCGAAGCCCTGGTGTACCGGAGTACACCACAGAGAACACAGCAAGCAAGTGCATCCCAGCCGACACACTCCACCCCGTCGTGCTGCTCCTATGGAGTGTCATTTGGTGCACCCGTTGCATGCTCTGTGTTACACCGGTGTACCCTCAATTATGTAGACCGACCCCGCCCCTCAGGCTCCCCCACCTGCTGTCTTACCATGCACGGAAACCGTGGGCTGGGCATGGCAGCTCGTCCTGCAGCCGACGGGGATGGCACAGCAGCCGCCTCACCGCCACGGGCATCCTCCTCCTGCAGGCCGCGTCACACAGAGTGATGCACAGGAGGCATGACAGGTTCGCCAGGTTGGTCGACGGGCAGTCATGGCAGCGGGAAGCAGACTTGCACCGAAGCCCTGGTGTACCGGAGTACACCACAGAGAACACAGCAAGCAAGTGCATCCCAGCCGACACACTCCACCCTGTCGTGCTGCTCCTATGGAGTGTCATTTGGTGCACCCGTTGCATGCTCTGTGTTACACCGGTGTACCCTCAATTATGTAGACCGACCCCGCCCCTCAGGCTCCCCCACCTGCTGTCTTACCGTGCACGGAAACCGTGGGCTGGGCATGGCAGCTCGTCCTGCAGCCGACGGGGATGGCACAGCAGCCGCCTCACCGCCACGGGCGTCCTCCTCCTGCAGGCCGCGTCACACAGAGTGATGCACAGGAGGCATGACAGGTTCGCCAGGTTGGTCGACGGGCAGTCATGGCAGCGGGAAGCAGACTTGCACCGAAGCCCTGGTGTACCGGAGTACACCACAGAGAACGCAGCAAGCAAGTGCATCCCAGCCGACACACTCCACCCCGTCGTGCTGCTCCTATGGAGTGTCATTTGGTGCACCCGTTGCATGCTCTGTGTTACACCGGTGTACCCTCAATTATGTAGACCGACCCCGCCCCTCAGGCCTGCCCACCTGCTGTCTTACCGTGCACGGAAACCGTGGGCTGGGCATGGCAGCTCGTCCTGCAGCCGACGGGGATGGCACAGCAGCCGCCTCACCGCCACGGGCGTCCTCCTCCTGCAGGCCGCGTCACACAGAGTGATGCACAGGAGGCATGACAGGTTCGCCAGGTTGGTCGACGGGCAGTCATGGCAGCGGGAAGCAGACTTGCACCGAAGCCCTGGTGTACCGGAGTACACCACAGAGAACGCAGCAAGCAAGTGCATCCCAGCCGACACACTCCACCCCGTCGTGCTGCTCCTATGGAGTGTCATTTGGTGCACCCGTTGCATGCTCTGTGTTACACCGGTGTACCCTCAATTATGTAGACCGACCCCGCCCCTCAGGCCTGCCCACCTGCTGTCCTGCCATGCGTGGATACCGTGGAGCGGCATCATCTGTATCATTGTGTCCCCTGTCTATCTCCCGTTGCTGCTCCTCATCGTCCGCCACCAGCCGGGTCATGTTTGGGGCCCGCTTTCTCTTCCTGGTCTCGTTGCACACACCAAAGCCTCGATGAACCAGCTCCTCTGACTGCAGGAGCAGCGACAGGGGACGGACGGGGGTCAGGGAGACCGCACGACACTCAAGGTGCGACTCTGCTCCCCCCTGCCATGCGTGAGCTTGGTCTTGATCTCACCCATAATCCTACCTGTTCGCCTGCTTCTGAAGGGGCCAGCCCATTGCTCTGGCCAGCACCAGAGACCTCTGTGCCATCCTCGGACACCCCATACTCTCCAGCATCACCAGTGCCGCCGTGCTTCACCGGGTCCACCATGGCAGCATCACCTCCCTGGGTGGATGGTGACAGGCAAGAAGACCGTGCATGTGTGTTATGGGTGCGGGAAGGATGGAAGGCCGCGGGCCGGCGACAGGGCAGTGGTACATACCTCAGCTCCCCCGGAGGTCACCACCTCCTCACCAGCCTTCAAAGCTTCTTCATTCCCCTGTGACATACACAATCTGTTTGTAAAGGTGCCCATGCATATCGCTCCCCGCCCCAGCCCTGGAGCTGGAAACCCACCGTTGTCATGGTCCTGTCAGCCGCGCTGGCTGCCTGTGACATGATGACACTGGCGGCACAGAGGTGAAGCGCAAAGCTTGAAGCGGCATGCTCAGACAAAGCAGTGCTGCGTGCAGGGACCCCTGGCATGGTACACAACCCGCTGCTGTGCTCAGGGAGGCTGCCAGCAGCGTGCTGGCTGCCTGGCAGCCCACACTCAGCAGCTGTCGGCGGCAAAGCTGCTGCATTCTTGATGATCTGCATGTGTGCAGGCACCCTGGCTTCAGCTGAGACAACCTGGGCGGAACAAAGGCAGGTAGCGTACCTCATCATACAGTCGAGTCCATGGCCGCATGGGCCAATGGTACGTCATGTTGTCCTCGCGACCAATCTGTCCTTGGGCTGGTGTGGTGTGTCTTATGTGGTCCATGACAAACGCCAGAGCGGCATCATGGCTCATGCCCCTGAGCCGCTCTTTGTATTCGTTTGTCTTCATCGCCAATCCTTCACGGATGTACCTCTTAAGGCTCTCCTCCCTGGCGCCACTACCAAGCATTCCGACTAGCGTCTTCTCCACCTGTGAGGACGGAGACAATCTGTTTGCGCGCCGAACACTTCTCAGCAACAACCTGGCACAGTATTCACCTGATTGCCAGCCGAGAATCTCATTGATACGAGATCGTCTGGCTTGCTGCGCCTTGGAACTGTAGCAACCCACTCAATGCCATCGACAATAACTATGAAGGTTTCTCCGGCGCGGCACTCTGCAAGTTCACACGCAAAGTTAAACACTTCACGTTTAAGGTGTTGGCCTATTTGTCTCTTCTGTAAGTAAAGGTCGCGTATCTGCATAAAGGTACCAGATGGTGCCATTTTCACAGCAATCTCATAGTGCTAAACCCAGTGACGTTTCTTATTGCTTTTATTTTTTCTTATTTCTTATATTCAAATTGTCCAAATGTTCACATGACTTCTGGGCAGCAAGAGGTGAAATGCCGTACACTTCCGGACCCGGGTCCGGAAGTGTACGGCATCTTGAAAATTATGCTGAATCCTGGTCTTAACTTCGCAGAATTGGACAGTACCAACGAATCGAAGCCTATGTGCTCATATTTTGTAGATGACATCCAGGCAGAATAGTCCAAATAGCGGACAGGGGTCCTCGAGGTCTGTGTCCCCAGAACGGTCGTTGAGGAACACACTTGAAGAAGAGAGAGCTCTCATCATCCAGAGGAATTTAAATAAGCTAGAAAGCCTTGGACTACAGGTCGCCAGGCCTTCAAGCAAGCCTCCATCTCGTCCGCCAAAACAGCGCTCACAACGAGGAGCTGAAGAAGGACACCCTCGACAATCAGCACGTATTGCTACTATGCATGCTGCGACAAAGAGGAAAGCCGCTGCCGCCGAGGGTGAAGTCCGCAATAAGGTATGACCGGGTCCAGATCGGGTCAAACCATTCATTTCCCTTCATACGGTTACCGCAGACCATTTCTCTCATTCCAATTTTCCAAATTATACTGTTTTACGCGATCTGGGTTACAAATGTTTCTCTTAGGTTCATGTTTGCAATCACGTGCATTTTCAAGGGATGCCTTGCTCCATGTCAATGTCGGCAAATAAAATGAATGCATGCAAAGACAACAGATATCTGGGATCGATCCCAACCCATTTCCTCCGTGCGGTGCAGAAAAAACGGCCCAGGACCGACGATGATGCAGCCGTGGAAGCTGCTGTGGAGGTCGCACCTGACCCCGACACCTTCCTCAGCATCTTCACTGATGCACAAAAACAGCATGCTAGTTCACACGGCCTTATGCTGAACACTGAGGCCGGCCGTGTCCTGGCGGCCATCATTAGCTGGCCATCCCAGTACACCCTGTCTGCAAGCAACGAGGGTACTTTCCTTCGTGCCTACGAGGTCTGTGAGAAGCTCTGCGATGTGGGCGGTCTATGTGGGGAGGACTTCACCGATCCAAGGCGGCAGGCTGCCACGGCGTTCACAGATCAACTTGTGACCGTCCTGAAGGAGGGGCCCAAGCCGCTCAAGCCCGTGGAGCTTCAGCGCCTCTCCGCCGGCCTGGCAGCTATGTGCGGGGGTGGCGGGGGTCGTGCAAAGAAGCCCAAGCGGTCCAGCACACGCTGCTGCAGGACCAGCACCACCCTTACAGACCGCATTCTTGACGACTTCCGGGACGACTTCCTTGCTACGAGCATCTTCGAAAACATCGAGGTGGGTGTGTGGGTGGGGTTTCATGGTGTACAATCTATTCCTATCCACTGGCTGATTGACATTCTTCATCGAACAAGCACCATGTCCTAGAGGGAGAAACCAGATATCCACACCACAGTGCATGCGGCCAGATCTAGCGCAGATCTACACCACAGTGCATTGTTGTTTGTGCTTTTGCAGAACTTGAAGCCGCGCCTGGCAAAGATCGTTGCGGACTTTGGGGGGGTTGATAAAGTTGCTTCCCTGGTGGGCATGAAGAGGCACGAAAAGGTCACGGAGGACCTCGTCTTTGATAAGCTGCGCGGCGCCACTAAGACCAAGTGGAGGAACACACGGCACCTAAAGAAAGGAGGTGTGATGGGGTTTGAAACAGCTCTGCGCCGAGGGCTAAAAATATAATATAGTCCACATATGGCCAGCAACGTGCTCGGAATTTCTTGCTCTCCTAGGACTTCTGGGTTTGGATACCTATTAGGCGACCTAGCAACTAACGTGTGCAGTGTCTATGTATGCAGGCCACGCATCTGAGGAGGAGGAAGAGGAGGAGGAGGAGAACACCAAGGCCAACGAGAAGGAGGTCAAGGCCAAAGCTGTCGAAGATGATGATGAGGGCAGCCCACCCGTTGAAAACATCCAGCCGGAGGCAGCCCCCGACAATGGCACAGAGCCTGGACCCATCAGGGACAACAGGGACGCTGGGGCTGGGGCTGCTCTGCCAGCTGTTCACCAGGGCATGTGGCAGGCCCTGCTGGACGACAATGACAAAGAGCTGCAACGCTACACAGCTGCTGACGGGCACCTTGCGTACCTGCAAGAATGTGACCTCGTGGGGAAGACCAAGGGCTGCTTCCTTGTTGGAGCACGTAAGAAGAAGGACATCAAGCCCGAGGCTTTGGGGGCTGGATTACTATTGGGCGACCTGGTAAGCTTACATGCTGTCTGACAGGCGGTCTGCTGTGTGTCTGTATGTGTTCGTACCCTAACAAAGAACTTCCGTCTGCATGATTGTAACTGCCGCCTGGCCTCTTACCCCGTATGAACATACAGGATGACGAGACCGCTGACGGCTGCACTGATCTCCTGGTGATTGGCCGCGCCATGGCAGTCATCAAGGACCTTGGCACTGTGCACATTCCCCCGACTGGCCAGTCCTTTGCACTAAACGACCGGCCACTCCGCCTCTTCCAGAAGGTAAATCAAGGTTGAGCTGTGATACCATGTCTGTATCACATGTGTTGACTTTGTTCTGGTTGCTTCTGTCTGCAGGTGCGATGGCCCATTGTGGGATTGCTCGCAGTCAAGGGCAAGATGACCGCAGTCCAGTGGGCCATGAGGACCACTGGGCTGAGCAAGAAGCAGTTGGATGCAGTGGACTTGGAGTGATACACGCCCTGTTAGGAACCACCTTAGGTGTGGGAAGTGTAGGCGGTGTGTGGGGCTGTACTTGGCTATTGGGCTGTCCTGTCCATGTGCCTAGTTGCGAGCCCCTTAGCATAGGCCTTGTGATCGCGTTCAGGGATCCATCATAACACTCATTCATTTGGTATGCTGCAGTACCATATGCAGTTCCAGCATGGATCGAGCATGTGATTGTAGATATGTTGTAGGTATAAGTGCTGGCATGGTGGACCTGACCTCATATGTGTGTCTGCCCGAATGGGAAAGTGGTCTGCTGTGAGAATCGGGCTCTAGCGAGATGTGGCCCTAGGTTTTTGTTGGGCATACCTCTGTTTGAAGGCGCCCTTAAGAACGGTTTAAGAATGCTGGGGGACGGAATGCTTGAGAACACTGTAACAACGCTTGAGAATGCTGCAAGAATACTTGAGAATGCTTTGAGAACGCTTGAGAATGTTGTAAGAACGCTTGAGAATGCTATAAGAACGCTGTAAGAACGCTTGAGAATGCTGTAAGAACGCTTAAGAATGGTGAGAGAACGCTGTAAGAATGCTTGAGAACACTGTAAGAACGCTTAAGAATGGTGAGAGAACGCTGTAAGAACGCTTGAGAATGCTTCAAGAACGCTTAAGAATGGTGAGAGAACGGTGTAAGAACGCTTGAGAGTGGTGAAAGATTGCTTAAGAACGCTTGAGAACGCTGTAAGAACGCTTAAGAATGGTGAGAGAACGGTGTAAGAACGCTTGAGAATGCTGTAAGAACGCTTAAGAATGGTGAGAGAACGCTGTAAGAACGCTTGAGAACGCTGTAAGAACGCTTAAGAATGGTGAGAGAATGCTGTAAGAACGCTTGAGAACACTGTAAGAACGCTTAAGAATGGTGAGAGAACGGTGTAAGAACGCTTGAGAACGCTTTAAGAACGCTTAAGAATGGTGAGAGAACGGTGTAAGAACGCTTGAGAGTGGTGAAAGATTGCTTAAGAATGCGTGAGAAAATGGTTTGAGAATGTCCTTGAGAACGGGTAAGATCGCTGAGAACGCTTGAGATTCCCTGCAAAGAGCGCTCTCTTGAGATCGCTTAAGAACGCTTGAGAAGGCACAATCTTAAAACATGGCAGATAAGAGCGTTCTCAGAACGCTCTTAACAGCGGCATCTACTTGTGCTTTATATGGCTTAAGATCGCGTTGAGAGCGCTCTTAAAGCGGTTTCATTTTGGTAGGGTCAGCAAGTACCCCCTTACACGTGCTGGGAATCTACTGTCCGGAAAACACCCTAGTCTGAACCACCATATACGCGCACTGCCGGACAGTTCTAAGACAGGCCAAGAGTAACAGGGAACACGTAACCCTGGCCGGAGACTTCAATGCCGTTCTGAACCCTGACGACCGCAGTACAGGCCTGCTCGACACAGCAGACCGACTACACCTCAAATTCGTCACCGATAACACGCTCACACCGGTCCCTGAAAACTGCTCCCCCCGCCACCCGTCCTTCAAGCAGTGGATCCAGGAATGCTGTACACACCAAAGCCGAATAGACGATATCCTGATGTGCCCCACCCTACACGCGAGGGTAAAAGCGGAGACACTCGCAAACGGGAACACGCCACAAGCATACTGCAACGTCTCTGTCGCCGGTGGAAACTTCGACCATAATCCCGTTCACGCCCGCCTGCCCGCTGACGCCATCCGCCTGTGGGACGCCAAAAAACCGGCAGCCCCAAACAACCCAGACGGAGACGGGGCCCGGACTAAATGGAAAAACGTGATACTACCGGTTCCGAATTCCACTATCCGCGCAGCGCAATTGAAGATGGATGCCTCGCTCACGTCGGACATCCTCAGCCTCCAGGAATACCTCCGCCCCGCCGTCCAGGAGATTGAGGCTGGCCTCGCGAAACACATCGAGGACCCCACGGATATGACAGCCACCCGCTTGACGACACTACTTCGCGGCCACGACAGCATCACGGCGGTCAATGTGGAGATTGCGGCAGCAATGCTCCAAACAACCCTCGACAAGGGACTAGACATCCTACTAGACCTGTGCCCTCAGAAACCGCCATGTACGGGCAAAATACACACCAAACGAACAGTCAGCAGAGGACTAAAAAAGCTACACAGAGAACACACCCGGCTCAAGCATGACTATGAAATGGAACTACAGATGCAGGCCGTCCCCGGATGTCAACAGCCAGTTTGCACGGACAGCTCAACAAGCCCTAACGGGCTGGCTTCGAATGACAACCACGCACCCCCTGAAGGTGCCGGGGGCTTGCTGGAGCAACTACGGGACACGATTCGGCGGGTCGGTAGCCAAATACGGCAGGTGCTCACAACAGAACGCCAGAAAAGCATAACCGCAGCGTGCCGCCGAACCCAGCATCTGATCGCCACACGCCCTCGACGGGCCCACCAAGGCATCTTCAGCAAGGATGAACTCGAACGCGGCCTACCTGCGGTGAAACACCCGGTCTCTGGTAAAATATGCACGGAACCCGAATCTATCCTTGAAGCAGTCCACCAGTACTTCCAGACGCAGGCCGCCCCCATTGGCCCCCCGAAGACTGGACGGTACCGACCCGAGGAAACCCCTCGATCGTACCCATTTCTGCAGAGTGCCGCCCCAGACACGTTCTCCCTTACCAGCCCGAAACAGGCCGCGGACCACGTCCTGCTTAGCAGCGTCGCTGACCCTTTTAACTTTAACAAGTGTGTCCAACACCTGGCCCGCAATAAAACACCGGGGCCCGATGGGATACCTAACGAGCTACTGAGAGCATTGCCCACTGCCTTACAGTCCACCATCCACGACCTCCTGAAAGTCATGTGGGCCCAGGCCCGCACGCCAAAGCAATGGACGGAATCCGTTACGGTCCTTCTACCAAAAGCAGGAGATGCGCTCCTCCTGAACAACAAGCGACCCATTGCCCTCGCCAACACTCTTTATAAGTTATGGACTAGCCTCGTCACAGTGTCCATCGGGGACGTCGCTCCCGAACTAGCGTTGTTTAGCGAGGCGCAAGAAGGGTTCCTCCGGTACAGAAACACGGAACGGCAAATCCAAAACCTGCTCCACGTCATTGAGGATGCTGGGCTCACACGCAAAGATCTCTACCTGCTATACGTCGACTTCTCCTCGGCATTCAACACCATCAACCACGACCTGCTGCTACAGATCATGTACGACCTAGGGCTACCCGAGGACCTCATCTATGTCGTACGGGACCTGTACAGCCAAGCGCGGACCACTATACGGACAGAACACGGCCACACAGCGCCAATAATGATCGAACGAGGCACAGTACAGGGGGACACACTCTCGCCGGTGCTATTCATTATTTTCCTCGAACCACTCCTCCGATGGCTCCACGCTGGCGGACGAGGGTACAAATACGGCTGCCTCCCCGACAGCTTGAACGCCAGGTACCATGGAAGCTCAGCTGCCTACGCCGACGACCTCGCCGTGATGACCAACAGCGCACAAGACCTACAAATACAATGCGACAAGATCAGCTTGTACTCGAAATGGGCGGGCCTACACGTGAATCACAAAAAATGCGCAGTGACGGGCATCCTGCACCACAGGGCATGGGCCGACCGAGGCCTGAACGGACCCACATGTGCACGCACCCTCAAGGCAGCCTTGGATGAAAAAATCAAAATCAGCGACCAGTCAGTGCCGTACCTACCCCCCACGGAACCCTACAAGTACCTTGGGGTCCACGTAACGCTGACCCTCAACTGGAGCGCACAGATGTCCCACGTCTGCAAGGCGGTGAGGGACAAGGGCGACCTACTTCAGGGATCCCTAGCATCGCCGGACCAATGTATCAGAATCATACAGACTTGTATACAAGCGGTAGTGTCATACAGCTTCTCCACCATGGCATACACTCCTAATGATATCAGACTTTTGGATGCGATGATCGCACGAGCAGCCCGACGCTGCTACCGCTTGCCCACCAGTTTTCCCACACGCGCCGTGCTGCTACCGGTGGAACAATATGGACTCGGCGTTGGGTCCCTACTACCGATCTATGTGCGCATGGCAGCTCGCGCGCTGGTCCTCTCCCTGAATGATGAAGGCCGGCTAGGCGTCGTGACACGAGCCATGCTTGAGCTGCAGTGTCGCCTGGCGGCCGACACTAGGATGCACACGTTGAAACGAGAGAGCAGTTTCTACACGACCCTGAAACAGCTGACCCTGGCGCGAGACCATGGCATCGCGGTCACCGACAAAGGGATGCCGTATAACACATCCCTAAACACTCTCATGACGGCCGCCTCCGCTGTCAACGCGCGGCAGGACACAAAGTCCGAAACCCTGCCGTACAGATGCTTGCTCCCCTTGACAGAGCTGGGCCTAGACATGCACGCGCTCATCGACAAGAACACAACACAACACCTCATCACCACCACTGATCTTCAGAAGCTTTTCCCCCGGGGCAAGGTGCAGCACCGGCACAAGATCGCCTTGAATCGACTAAGCCTAGCGATAAGTGCCCAATGCCCCCAAGCTCCACACACGAAGGCACATGACCCACGTCGCCCTACAAACACGGAGGGGGGTTAAGAAACTTAGGAGAATGCTTAAGAACGATAAGAACGACGGAAGAACATGGAGGAGGCGGGTGTGCATTCTTAAACATTCTTACACTGGTATTAAGCGGTTTTATGTAAGTATGTCATATAAGTATGCATTAAGAATGCATCAACCATGAAAACATTCTGTAATGAATGCCTGATGGAGCTCTTATAGTTCCCGGATAGGTAATATATCACAGTGATTGTGAAACAGTGACATACCATGAATTTCATGAAAACTATCA